GCACACAGCCCATCAAATATTCTGAGGATTTTGCATTACTAGGTAGTGTTATCCTCAAATGAACACCAGAAGCATTTCTACCTCCAATAACCATCAAGTTTATAATCCTTTCAATATGCAGAAGGAATAATCAACTAGGAGCAATCTACCAGGACTTTTTTTTGAGAAGGTAAAATGTTATTACATTGGCATCAGAGGATGCGAAAAATGTACAAGAAAATGACTGAATCATATGTGAAACTTAAGGGCAATCTAGCTGACTTTAACCAAGGTAAATCAGAAAAGCGATTATCAAATGCTTAATTTCAATGTTCATGACGATGCGTACCTTCAGCTGCAGCCATTGCCTTCACCTGACTCTTCATGGATGGATTGCCATGGTCCAAAACAATGGCTCTGTTTTAGAGATGCAAAAATATCAATATAAAAGACAGAATGAGAAAATCAAATATCAGCTAAGGTACAAACAACAGAGAATCTTTTATTTATTTAACTAGAACAAAACTTCTCCAAAGCATCGGAAAAGCCTTAAAACATTTTTCCTCTGCATTGCATCATCAGAAACAGTATTGCCAAAGACTTGCTTGAGGCACACATAAGCCCTCAAGCTAGGTGCACCACAGGCTAAGCAATTCACCTCGGCCCTCGCTTAGACCACACTTTAGATCATGTACCAAGGTGCTAAGATGTACATTTGATCAACCATAGGCTTTCTCTTAAAGTGAGCAACAACAACAATCCCAAGCTAATTTCTTTCAACAAAAGAAAAATCTGAGTATGGGTTAGTGATATGAATGTTGTTACTCCAACTATAGTGGTCATCAATTGGTTTATCAATCATACTTTTCTGTTAACTAGTTATTAGCAAGTTATTTAGCAAAATTTGAGACAGGATCTTTCTCTCTCATCAAAAATAAATTCTAACTGCAAAATGCTTAATATTTTAAGAGAAAGACTTATTTTTGTAAGCCTATAATTTTTCCTTTGATACCATAAGCTTTTAAATTATGTTGTGGACAAAACAAGAGATGGAGGATTCTCCCAGCTTGCATATGGTGGACAAAGCATAGATGCTTTGAAGACAAATCTAGTAACATCCAAAAGATGAAGATGAAGTGTTTAATTCCTATATACTTTTGGTGTAAAGGAAAGTTTTTGAAAGATCATGAATCTATTTTTGATGTTTTAGAATCCTTGTAAGAAGACAAAGGATTAGGAGTTATTTTTTCCTGCATTCCACAGTGTAATTATGGGTGACTTCATAGCTTTTGTGTAGTCTATATTTTAATATGCAAATATGTTACCTTCTCAACCAAAAAAAGAAGCCTTTAAATTAGTCTTCTACTTAATCAATACATCCCAACTCGTGATCAAGGAAGTGAGCTGCTGCATCTTAAAGACAATTAAACGTCGATAACAGTGGTACCGCTAGCTCAACACAGTATCACAGAACTTCAGCCTAACTAGATAGGGTCGAATAAAGAGCAGCGGAGTCGAATAANAAAAAAAAAAAAAAAAGCCTTTAAATTAGTCTTCTACTTAAGGAAGTGAGCTGCTGCATCTTAAAGACAATTAAACGTCGATAACAGTGGTACCACTAGCTCAACACAGTATCACAGAACTTCAGCCTAACTAGATAGGGTCGAATAAAGAGCAGCAGAGTCGAATAAAGAGCATGTAAAATGAGTGGACAAAACCATTATCCCATGAAATCGCTGAATGAGCTTAAAGTGACCTTGCCTAGACACTCACTCCAAGAGAGAGAGAGCAGATCAACCCAGATAGACATTAAAGCAAACAAGAAAACGGGTCAGGAAAGCCACATAATTAGATATGAACTTGATTGTACAAGAATTAAGCGGTAGCTGTGGTAGACATCCCACCTTGAATCCTAAAACTGCAAAACTCAATCCTCACTATGCCCTTAATCATACCCTTCCCGCTTGCCAAACAAATAAAAAGCACTAAAATTTATATATTTGCATATCATTAAGTTGAGCACTATCATGTAGAGAAATCTAATATATCTAGCTACAACGATCAACCATTTCATGTCATTTTAGAGTTGGACAATAAATCCTTATCCAAAAAAAAACAAAAGAGTTTGACAATAAACATACTTGCGTGATTTAAGTTTCTTCTCAGCTTCTTCTGACCGCATTTTAACATGGTTTTTAAATGATTCATCCAGAACGCGCTGTACATTCAACTTTCGCCAAGCACCACCTGACTCAACAAGCAAACCATTTCCATCTTCACCACTTCGACGTTCTTCATATATATCACATAGATCTCCAGGTTCCCGCGACCATGTGAATCTGAAGTCTTTACTACCAACATTAATGACCTGATACAATGTGGGCAAATCACATCCAATTATACTTAACTAAAGTAACATTATTGCCAAGCATGAGTTCAAGATCAAGTCAAAGGATGTCGAAGTTCTTTCTTTTATAAAAGTGAAAGAGGTCATAAGTTCTTAATGAGGCACTCATAAATTAATTCAATAAAGAGCACAACCAAACACCTCAAAGCAACTAATACAAAAGTGTATATTAGAAAAGGAACAAACAGAAGTGACGTTTAGTGGCATTTCAGATGCAAGTCAGGATATATAATTATGGCAGTGTAGTATAATATCTACGAAACACAACCACTAAAATGTAACTGCCAGTCTTATCATAGGATCACTCTATGAATAGGCCAATTCTCTGTGACCTTCCACCGTTCACGACATCCCTTGCTTCTCACAAGAATGGCTCCTCGGTTTGAGTTTTTAAAGAACAAATACATAATCACAATTTAGAAGGATAGATAACAAAAACACTGGAAGCATCATGGAGTAAATAGCTTGAAATGGACACCTTAAGAAGCACATCTCCCCATTTCAAAGGCCTTTAAATCATATTGCCCAAAAATAGGGTATTCTGTTTCTTCATTTTCCTATTCTGTTACAGAGGAAATCTAATAAAGAAAACAGGCAAACAAGGTTGGAGTGATACATTTGGTAAGTGCATAGCTTTCAAACGAAAGGTAACCTATGAACCGAAGTGGCGAAGCCATAAGGGGATTACCAAAAAAAAAATAGAATGTCATAGTTGGGATTCAAACTTGTAAGTTAAAGCAACTTTTGAACCTAAAGATTTAATTTTTACCTATTTACCTAATATAAATATTCGATGAAGGGGATGTAATTGAACCCCTTCCCCTCTTACGAGCTCCGCCCCTGATACAAAGTCTTATTGTTACGGGTAAGTAGGTAACCTGCAAGTCTTGAAAATAGACGTAAATATTGACTCGCACCAGTCGCTAGAGGTTAGAAGTGCTACAAGCTTTTTTGCTGCACACCAGCAGTACAGTGTTTATGTTCCATCTTCATGTAACATAAGAGTCAGTTTTTAAGCATAACAGCCCATGGCAAAGTTTAAACTGAAAATCAACAAATGCTTTTAGCAGTCTCTCATATTCTCCACTGCACTATAAGTATCCAGTTAAGCACAATATGTTCAACTAATCCAACTTAGATAAAACCTAAAAACAAAAAGGAAAACCATCAAATAGCAAATAAATATGTTGCACACAGATCTGTAAAACAAAAGTGAACAAGAAAACTCACATTTCCGGAGGAATTATTGGCATTGGTATCAAATTTGATCCTAGCTGTACTACCTTCAGCTTCTACTCGCTTGATCTCTTCCACTAAATCTGGCGCCAGCCGAATTATCATTGCAAAATTCAAAGGGTTCCCAGTGACGAGGCTAAAAGTCTCCTCCGCTCCATTAGAGGAAGTGGGACCCGTCGCGCTGCTGCTGTTGCGGTTTCGAGGTGCGGCAGCTCCACCGCCGCCCAGTGACAGGCGACCGCCAGACGCGGCGGTTGACCTATTGAGAGGCGGCGGTTGGAACGTGGACTGGATGTTGCGCTTCCCAACGCCACCTCCACGGCCACCGCTTCCGCCGCCGCCGCCACGGCCAAGCTTTCCGGAACCTCCGTACATTACGTTTGGAATGATGCGAAAATAGATTGACAAAAGGGGAATCGGAACTTGAGATACCGAATACCAGCGATATTTGGGGGAGCCGACGACGATTACACAAATTTGGGTTTTGGGATTTTAGTTTTAATTTGGGCCCACAATTCTTACTCTAATTTTACTTTTAGATAAAATCGATAACTCGTGCAAGTTGAGAACTGTACAGGGAAAAAACTGATTATTCGAATTTTTTTTTTTAATCATTGATAGGTAAAGACTATGGAAGGAAACTGAGGAGGCTAGTGAAATTTAAACGTAAAATTGGTATAAAATGCACTCTCTTCTCTCGATTGGTGTTTTTTACAAGGAAAAAGGTGCAAATTTGTCCACATATTAATATAAAATTATATAATTTGCTTTTCGTTATAATTTTGGATTGGTCGAATATTTATCTTTTGTAAATTGCTTTTATTTATTTTGCTATTGAAAGTACTGGCCTGAAATTGATTGATTCTACTTGTCGAAATTCTATAAAAATATTATTCAAATTTAACCCTCAATATATATTTTTTTGGTAATTAGTTAGATTTTTATTACCCAAATTAGAGTTATGTACAAAATACAAACCTTGAATGTTGGACATCAAGTCTTAGCCTTCCGTCTAAGCTTAGAAACTAAAATAGCAAAAAGATCATCTCAATACCAAAATAATTAGGTTGGGTAGTAGTTTAAGCTCTCCAGCCGCTTTACAATCTTCACCTTCATTGAACCTCTAAAATGGATTTCTTGAACTATCTGTCTTGTCAATACCTCAATACTCAACTGCTTGCTTTGAAATACTCTATAATTTCTTTCCATCCACACATGGTAAACAGCAGTCGCTAGTAGCATTCTGTATATCTCAGGTCTTGGACTGTTCCCACTAGCATGTTGCATCGCCCACTATAGTTCATCTTCCCAAGCCATTGGATTTCTAGTGACAGCTATCCAGTTGAGCAGCTTCGTCCAAATTTGTGCAGTGGTCTCACAGGTAAAGAATAAATGGGCCAAGCTTTCATGGTCTTGCTCACATAAGGGACAGAATTGATCTTGAGTCACACCCCACTTGAATAATCTATCTTTTGAATACAATCTCCCAAGTGCAGCCATTCTCAATATGAAAATCCATTTGGGTAGACCCTGGTTGTTACACACAAGTTTCCTCCACGCTAATTTCTGGAATGTAACCTTTAACTTCAAGTAAAATTGTTTTGTAAAGAACTTCTCCATACCCTATACCTCATTCAATATATAGCCTGCTTCATTAAAGTACTTTGTGGCTTTCAAAATCTTCTGAACAATCCAAGATGCTTGCTTCGGGACATCTTCAAACATATTCTTATTCCTCCCATAGTAACAATGAATCCATTTCACCCAAAGTTTATCTTTTTTCCTACAAATATTCCACAACAGTTTACTAATTACCGTTTTACTCCAAACTGCAATGTCTAGAATATTTAAACCATCTGCGGACCTTAGATAACAAACCCTATCCCAAGCTAACAAAGCTTTTTTTTGACAACCCAATACCACCAGTTCGAAGGAAATTCCTACAAGTAGCTTCTATGACTTTAACAACTTTCTTAGGTAAGATGAAGATCTGCCCCATGAAGACCTTTATAGAGAACAACATTGGCTTTATCAATTGGGATCTTCCAGCATAGGACAAGAATCTAGTAGTCCAGGACTTGGTCCTTCCCAACATTTTATCCAAAAGAGGCTGGCATTGAACAATATATACTATGTTGGTGCTTAGAGGGACCCATAAGTATCTAATATGGAGTTCCCATTTTGTTGAATCCCAAGAGCTTCTGGATATCATTTTAGACCTCATGTATAACACCTCCACAGTAAATAAAGCATTTGCTCAAGTTTGCAACCAAACCAGATGCCTTAGAAAAACTTTGAAACTTATCAAATAGCATATGAACAGAAATTACATCCCCTGTACAAAATAAGAGTAAGTCATCTGCAAATTCCAATTGGATCAGATTCATTTTTGCATATTTAGGATGGAAATTGAAATCATGCAGTTTTCCTAATTGCTTGAGAAGCATAATAAGTTATTTCATTGCGGGGACAAATATTATTACAAGTAAAAGTTGCTCTGAAGTTAGATTTTTAAGAGCGGTCAATGGCAAAAACTTGACTATGTCCTTACGACACGAATAAACTTATACTAAAGGTCTAACGAATGACATAATATATTTGTCAATTCGGAATAATATATGAGTAAATTTAAAACATATATAATTTTGTATTTTCACTTTTAAGATTATGTTTTTCTTAAAATTATGGTGAAATTGATGATTTTGACCGAATTTTCCACAATCCAAGAGGATTATGTAATTGTAAGGGATGAGTTCGTCACAATCATTAACTAATGCAATCAAAAAAACAATGCAGCGACCAATCAGCTATTATAATATACTCTAGCATGGCATCATAAAAGTCATTAATCCCATGCACCATCTAATGTTTATATTAAATCATGTAGCTTATTTAAATAGTTTAAAACTATAATGAGAATATCACTTAATTATTCGTGAATGAACAAAGAAGAGTTTGAGGTTCGCTAACAAATTTAAAGATTTTAAGCTTTATTTACTTACTGTGTAATCTTTTTAATATAATCAATCACACTTAAATAAATGATAAATAACTTATAAAAATATATAAATGGCCTATAATATTATACGGTTTGTGCATAATACTTAAATGGTTTGCACCTATTCTATAGATACTGTAGACAATAAATTTGTGTCAAGAAAATAAAATCAAGACCGAAAAATATCGCAACAATCGTAGTATTTTATTTTGAATATTTGAGTGTTACAATCTCTATGGATCCTCTAATTCTTCTTTCCAATTGTAAATAAATTCAAAGGCCTTTGAGCTTGATCTTGAATCTATGTTTGTTGCCACGAACGATGATCTTGAATTCAACTAGCACGAACTTTGATTTGAACTCGCACTCCTTGAACCTTGATTTGTTCTTTGTTCTTGAGCTTGAACTTGATTTGTTCTTCGTGCTTGAGCTTGAACTTGATTTGTTGAACTTGAGCTTGATTGCTTGAAGCTTGAAACTTGTGGAGGAATTTGCGGAGTTTGATCCACGAGCTCTCTCTTGCTTCTTGTTATAACTTCTGGTGTCTTTTCTAAGTTATGAAGACCCCTACTTATAGTTGTGGAAGGGAAGAGTTATGATAAGAACAAACTCTTTCCGACCAATCAAATTGAAGTGTGACATGGCCGCATTTGATTGGTTAGAATATGTCACTTGCACACGTGGCGCAATTTCATTGGCCTTTTAGTGTGACTTGGCATGCTTTGTCATTTTGACCTGTGGCATGATCCAATTGGCTCTTCCATTTGACTTGGCGCGCTACGTCATTTGACACGTGGCACCAAACTGGGCATCTAGGAAGATGACATATTGGGCTTAATGAAGTGGGCTCATCACTTTAGCCCAATTAAATGGGCTAGACCAATGGGTTAAGACTTATTTATTTAATACATTTATATTAGACTTATATAATTAATTCATTTATATATTAGCCCATAATATTTATTTGGACCAATCTATCTTGAATTTAAAATATAGTCCAAATAATTTTATGGATTTAAATCCGATAAAATTTAAATACTTACAAATGCCCCGCTTCAAGACTAATCGGAGTGTAGTCTAATCGAAACTCAAAAATTGGTCTTGAAGTACACATGGAAGACAGTTGTCCTCTTAAAAGTTATCCGGAATCGAACTTTCTATTTCCTTGAATCAAGAAAATAATTTTCATATTACTAATGGCATGCATAAAGATATATTATGACCAAACATTAGCCATCACGTAGGACAAATTTGTAAAAACTTTTGTCATTCTTTATATTAAAGAAAAGATTTCATTTTAATTTGACATAGAAATTTGCACCACCAAGGCATGTGATTATCCATGATCAGAAGATATCTATCCATATAACACTGCTGCCTCAATCACCGAATATATAAGGAATGCTTGAAAGCCTCCAAATCCTACTTGAACTCTAAATAGCCAATCGACGTTGCACTATCAGCAACCAACCCGTCACCATTAACTGAATCCATCTAGGAGACCAATTGTATAATCTAACTTCTACATCGTTAATATACTCTTGCAAGAAGTCTCTGACATCTATATATATATATATGGTTGCATGCTCCAATCGAGAATATCTAATTCGGAGTATTTACAAGCCACTTGAGTCTATTTTGTGGACTCAAAAGTATTAACGCGAAGGTAATTTCTTCTTCTTTTCTTGTAATTTCTTCTTTGTTGTCTTTTTTTTTTGTAGGTCAAGCGAGAAAGATATGTTCTTGTTTAATGATGATACATGCATGAAGAAAACAATATTAGGGTGTAAAGGGATGAGTACCCATCCCGACCCGACTATCGGAGAGATTACTCTCAAAACGGCTCGACTATCGGAGAGATTACTCTCAATGTGGCCCGACTATCGGAGAGATTACTATCAAAATGACCTGACTATTGGAGAGATTACTCTCAAAGCGACCCGACTATCGGCGAGGCCAACTTAAGGTGCAAAGGGACTCATATGTCCACCTTAAGATTGGAAAGTTATAGTTCCTTTTAAGGACAAACCCACGAAGAGGCCAACTTAAGGTGCAAAGGGACTTATATGTCCACCTTAAGATCGGAAAGTTATAAAGCTTCAACTTGAAGACGACATCGACTTGAACACTTGGAGAACTTTGAAAATTTGGCGGACTTTGCAGACTTCAACTCGAAGATTAGGAGGGCTTAAACAATTCAACTTTAAGATCGGCGAATTGAAGACTGAAACTTGAAGATCGGCAAACTTGAAGACTTCAACTTTGAGACTTGGAGGGCCTAAATATTTCAACTTGAAGATCGGCGAATTTGAAGACTTCAACTTGAAGACCGACAGAGTTGAAGATTTCAACTTGGGGACTTCAACTTGAATACCGATGGACTTGAAGACTTCAACTTGGTGACTTCGAGGGCTTAAATATTTCAGCTTCTCTTTTGCTTTACATTGTTTGACTTTTATCTTAGTCGCATAATTTTCAGCTTTACGCGCTTGTAACAAAAGATTCATATCTTGTCGTGGGAGAGTCCAAATAATGAACCGTTTGATGACTTCATTATCTAAAATATATCCAACACTTAGAATCAAAAACCTTCAGAATCGCACCGGATAATATT